CTGCTGTTTTGAGGAGGGATATTTCCCCAATCAGTGGAAACGCGCTATAGTATTCCGCTACCTAAGTGTTCTGACCCTACTAACTATGGTCAACTGAGACCGATCAGTCTACTGCCAATTTTTTCTAAAGTATTGGAACGCGTTGTTTACGAGCAGCTCTGCGCCTACTTATATTGTAACAAAATTATTCCATCTAAACAATCTGGATTTCGACAAGGTCATAATACAGCTTCGGCACTCTGTGATTTAACAGACAATATAACAATGGCACTTGATAACCAAAAAGCAGTAGCTCTCATACTTCTTGACTTTACTAAAGCATTTGACACCATTAATCACTCACTTCTTGTATCTAAATGCAGTTACTATGGATTTTCTGAAAAACCTCTTTCGTTTATTCAAACCTACCTTGAAAATCGGTATCAAAAAGTTCGTCTAAATCAACAGTACTCTACGGAACAAAAAATTTGTTCTGGTGTACCACAGGGATCAGTCTTAGGACCGCTATTATTTTCATTATATATCTCAGATTTAGAAACAGAGGTAAAATCATGCAGCATACAATTTTTTGCAGATGATACTCAAATTTTCTATTCATTTAGGAGTAATGACTTGGAAACGGCAAATAATAAAATTAATCAAGATCTTGTCCAAATTGAAAAGTTCAGTAGTAGTCATAATCTTCGTTTGAACCCTTTGAAGACAAATATGTTAGTATACGCAAATAGAACAAAAAAGAATACCTTAAAAAAGGACATAGACATACATTTAAAAGGTAATAAATTAATTCCTGTGGATCATTCGAAAAACCTAGGTATTATAATGGATGATGACTTAAAATTTGTTGCACACGTGAACTATCTAATTACTCAGTGCTACGCTATTCTCAGAGTTTTATTTGCAAATAAGGCTATTACATAAATCTGCGAGAAAGCAATTGTGTGAATATTTCGTATTTTCAAAGATATCGTATTGCTTAGTGGTTTACTATCCTATTTAGATATTATAACAAGAAATCGTATTCAAAGTATTATGAATACATGTTGCAGGCTTGTAAATGATCTCAGAAAATATGATCATATATCGAATGCCATTAATGAACTCAAATGGATGAAAATTGATAAAATGTTATAAGTACCAGCTCCTAAATCTGACTCAAGGTTCTTTATTCAAAAACACCGTCATATTTAGTAAACAAATTCATACGTAGAGGGAATATGCATCGTATTAATATTAGATATAGAGAGACTTTTTCAATTCCACGCCACAGCACGTCTCTATTTCAGAATTCATACATTTACAATGCGATCAAATCATATAATTCTTTAGACCGCAGTTTAAAAGAAACCAATCCATTATCCAAATTCAAGAAAAAAGTGAAAGAAGTTCTTCTTGATCAGCAGCGAAATCGGTTGTAACCCATAAGTGTCCTCATATTTCCTTATGTATTTACTTGGATATTCGTTTTGTATACAGGTGCCTATTAATTTTCAACAATTTTTTTTTTTTTACATCTCGTATTGTTAAGGGGGTTAGATGGTAGAATAGATATATAATCTAAATCTCGCCTCCTGTAAGAATATTACAAATAAAAGACGTTAATTATTATTATTATTATTATATTATTATTATTTTAATTTCTGATTATTTTCATTATGACTTTAATCGTGTGCTGCGCAGTGAATGGAAAGTTTAAAAAAAGAAACCTTTCATAATATTAATGGCACAAATGTTTTCTTGTCAGAAAAAAATGTTTAATGATGGAACCATGGCTTTGTAGCTACGATAATTTTCAATTCCCTAAACTTTTCCGCATGTTAAAGAAAACATTAATTTGTTGATTTGAGAGAAATGATAGGAAAAAGCGATGAAAAAAGATTATAGCAAAACGTATACAGGTGGACATTATCCAGTGAGTTTATATGACCATACTTTAATATTCTTGTGGTATATGGCTACACAGGATACCTTTTTAAGCCTAGGAACTAGATTTAAGGTATCACCAACAACAGTAATGAGTACAACTAATAAGGTGCTGTACTTTATGCTACAACTGAAGTCAGCATATATCAAGTTCCAAAAAATGAAGCTGGAGTACAACAAAAATATCCAATACCCGCCAAAACTTGACACATTTCTAAAAACCAGAAATATAAAACTTCTCAGGAGTTGGGTAAATACCACAGTTTTACGGTAATAACTATGACATATAACAGCTGATTCATGACGTCACGGATCTTATAACCAAACTAATAACCACACTCGCTTGAACGGATCGGTAAATACCAATCCAAAATGGTAAATACCATTTTCATTTGATAATTCGCTTTAATTTGATTTATGATATGATAGTAGACAGGCGGGAGTTTATGAAAATAAATCATTACACAATATTGTTATATGTATATCCTAATTGTTAAAAATTATTATCAATGTGCTGAGAGCTTAATTTCCACCATTATGATAGACACATAGACACACCTAAATCATTATTGCATTATAACAGGTTAACAAATAAGTATGTTTGTACTGTATTAATTATTTGATTTGTCTATTTATAGTCTGTTTTAGAATCTTCAGTGACTGTACTACATCTACCCAAGGTTAGGTGTGAGAGTAGCTTTGAGCTCAATCTCTCTATTGATACAGACGTTTTTCGTATTCGGACTCTTGGACTACTGCCAGCTAGTTTCTAGTATTACTTTTGACGCTAGAACTACGACTTTTTATTAGACTTACCCTGTGATATTGGGCTTTACTCTGGATATATTGTTACATAATACCATTACCGATTTTTAATTTTTTAACAGTTCTCTGTAGCTCGTATGATGCATCCCCTGTTACAGGACTTACCAAGGCAGCCATGATTCTGGCCAAGCGCAATCGCCGGCAAGCGGACCATTAGGCGAGGGGCGTTGGGCCGGGTGGTGTCCGAAGTGGCGTCAGCACAGCTTGCCAAGAAAGCCGCCCGGCACAAATTAAATTAGTTCGACAAATATGCCCTTAATAATTACCTCGGACTTAGGGGTGGCTGTCGTTCATTATGCGATTTCGACTCGACTGGCTGCGTCCTAAGGTCACGCCCCGTATGAGACTTCAAAGACGATGCCACCGCGCTAGGATGAAGTAGGGTCGTCGGCGGCCTTTTCGGGTTCGCAGAGGATTAGAGAGTGTTAGAAGCTTGTTAATTTTGTAGTTGTGCCCACATACTCGTTTTTAACGATATCTAAATGGCTATATGCTGGCTCTTCCTTATCTAGTAACTTGGGGTGATGAAGGCGAAGTGTAGGTACAAGAAAATATAAACAATCCTATACCCCATTCGTAGTCCATTACGCCCAGACAAAATATAACATGCCGTTGCAGGTCCGTATTTTCCTCAATGGTTTGCAATAATCTAACAAAATAAATGATTAGTCTTATAGAATGAAGTGCACATTTCATAACCCTTTGTTCGCAAGAAGTACATGAATAGTGAATATTAATTATTATAGGTTCAATTTGAATATCCATCATATTGTCCAGATCCCACGTCTTTCCCAATATTCCAATAGTTTGCCGTCACTCTGTTGACAGCTCCATAAAACAAATTTTTCACGCCAAAAAATTTGAATGTATTATTGTTTAAACCTACATAGTTTTCTATATTTGCCAAATGATTTCAATGGAATTTAATTCGCAGTGATAAGGGGGTAGCCTTAAAATGGTCTTATTTTGATTTTAGTCATTTCGACAATAACATTAGGATTATATTTTATTTGTGCTGCCTGATTGGATGGATAAGTTCTGCTTTGGCCATATTTTCCTTGAAATTAGTGTCTTTTGACAGGAGCCATTGTTGAATTTCTGCCTTTATTGTAGATATTTTGGGAATTTTTCTAGTTTTCTAGTGTGGTATGCAGCATTATCAAGTAAAATGACGGCATTTTCGTTAAGTTTTAAGAGCGTTTCTTCAAACCATCTCGTTCAAATGAACTCCCTTTCATTTCTTCATGGTAGTCGGTCGTTTCATTTGACTCAAATGTCCATAAGGCAGTGGGCACCGAGCCATCTTCACTGCCAATGTGATATAACAAATCGTTTTGCTGGAAATAATTAGTTCATATAATATCCAAGAGAACTAATAATAATGCAAGCAGAGTATCTAACAGGCGTTGCTGCCAAATCTACCAGATAGTTTAGTGTAGCTAAGTTTTTGGCGAGGGCTCATAGATTTAGTCTATTGACACCATTTTAACAACACAAATGACGAATTGGTTAGATTCACGTACCTGACGGATTCTTTAGGCCAGTGGTTAGTCCATCCATCCCATACTTCAGGTTTTGTATGTCCTGCATTAATCCAGGTTTTATCCAAGTAATAAATCTTCCTGCCATGGTCGCGGTATTTCTTTATTGATTTTTAAATAATTTCTTCTCCATAAATAACCCTGTCCTTCAAAATACTATTTCTGCCACGTTTTCTATGTTCATAAT